CGCCTGAGGCAGAGAGAGGAAGGAGGTTGTGATGAAAAGACAGCTGTTTTGGAAACTTGAAGTGCGGGACAGCAGAAATGCTGCTGACCCAAGACCCCTCTTCCAGGAATCATCTTCCTTTCTGCACCCACACTTGCCAACTCCCCCACCACCCTGCTGCATTCCATCTCCTCCCCTGTGCCCAGGGTCTCTGTGGGGCCTGGGAATGGGGATGGGGAATGCCTTGCTGACCTGCTTTTTGCCCTCCTCCCCAGGGTGTAGTGGACAGAAAAGACTTGGCCAGGCAGATGGCTTCTCGGTGGCAGAGCATGGGGACCTCCGTGCGCCGGAGATCCCTCCGGCACCCAGAGCAGCTGGAGGACAGCAAGGAGCTGCAGCCTGTGGCCAGCCATCAGGAGACCTCCTCCAGGGCCCTGGGGTCCCTGTGCAGACAGTTCCAAAGGAGGCTGCCCCTGAAAGCCGTCAACCTCAACCTCCGCCCAGGCCCCTCCTGGAAACGCCTGGAAACCCCAGAGCCAGGGCAGCAGGGCCTCCAGGCAGCAGCTCGCTCAGCTAAGAGTGCCTTGGGTGCCATGTCCCAGGTAATACCAACAATACTAACCATCTTTTTTATGAAGGGTTTCCTTGGTGCCAGACAGTTCCTGCCTTCCAAGAGCCTCCAAGAATATAGACTCCATGAAGACAGGGACTTGGATTAGTTCACTGCTGTTTCCCCAGCACCTCAAATAGTTCCTGGCATGTATAGGTGCTCGACAAATAGTTGAATGAATGAATGAATGAAAGCATGTCTTGGAGGAAACAGATGCTCACACTACCAGGTGATGAGAGCTATACGTGATAGGAAATTGCAAGCAAGTGGCCAATAGCAAGGGCTCACCAAATGAAAGCTTAGTCAGTGAAGGCTTCCCAGAGGAGGTGACGCCAGGGTTCACCCAGGGATCACCCAGGGAAGCAAAGGTCAAGGGGTGTTTAAGGCAGGGGAAATAGTGCAAGTTTAGGCCTGGAGCTGAGGGAAAACAAGATTGCCCACTAGGCCATGGACCCCTGAGGAGAGCCAGAATTTTAGTTTGGGAATAAGCAAAGGACACAGGGCAAGGTAGAGCAGGGAGAAAGGTTATGAAGGAGCTTAGGCTCTCCTGGGAGTAATCAGGAGTCCATAGGATTCTAAAACAATGGAAAGTCTGGTCTAATTAGCATATTAGAATTTGCCCTTTAGCTACATAATGGAGAAGGGAATGGAAGCAGAGAAGCTCCTGAAGGGGCCTAAGGGTCTGGACTTGCAGGGAATAAACTTCAGGAACTGCCTAGAAGGTTGATTAGAGGGGATATGCCGTGAAATGAGAGGTGCTGGCAGGAAAACATCCTTATATTAGATGTAAGTTTCTACAGGCCCTTTAAGGGATGCATCTTTCAACCCAGAGCTGGAGGTGTAGAGGGGTCACTTAAGAAGGACAGAAGCCGTTAGGATGAATAGACCTTCAGTGAGAGGGCTGGAGACTGCAGAGATTTCTCCTCGGTGTCTCATTGGGAATTCTGAAGACGAGGGGAGAGGGTGGCTGTTTCCAGACCCTCTGCAGAGAGCTCTCTGAGCCAAATGTTAGTCCTTGTTTGGAAACTATTTTTTTATTTTTTGAGATGAAGTCCCACTCTGTTGCCCAGTCTGGAGTGCAGTGGTGTGATCTCGGCTCACTGCAACCTCTGCCTCCCTGGTTCAAGTGATCCTCCTGCCTCAGCCTCCCGAGTTGCTGGGATTACAGACGTGTACCACCACTCCTGGCTAATTTTTTTGTATTTTTAGTAGAGATGGGGTTTCACCATGTTAGCCAGGCTGGTCTTGATCTGCTATCTGCGTGATCCACCAAATGCTCTCCTGGTATGCCGGGGGTGGTAGGCAGGCTGGCCTGCTCTTCTCTGGGGCCCTCCCCTACAGTCATTGGGTCAATCTGTGTCTGGAAGGAGAGTTAGACAAACAGGCTCCATGCACTAGAAGGGGGTCATCCTGCTGCTGACTGCTGCTGTCATATCCAGAAGCTCTGAGCTGAGTCCCTGTGGGGGACTCATTCCACGAGGAGACATTCACATCCCTCACCCTGGAGACTAACAGCAGCCTGTATTTACGGGACACTTGGTGGGTCTAGGGGTGGTGGTAGCTCACCCTTGTTTTTTGGAGTGCAGTGGCGTGATCTCAGTTCACTGCAACACTGCAACCTCTGCCTCCTGGGTTCAAGGGATTCTGGGATTACAGGTGCCCACCAACATGCCCAGCTAATTTTTTTATATTTTTAGTAGAGATGGTGTTTTACCATATTGGCCAGGCTGGTTTCCAACTCCTGACCTCAGGTGATCTGCCCGCCTTGGCCTCCCAAAGTGCTGGGATTAAAGGCATGAGCCACAGCGCCCAGCCTCACCCTTGGTTTTGTCTGTGCTAACCTTTCCATTTGCCTGTTCCAGAGAATCCAGGAGTCCTGCCAAAGTGGCACCAAGTGGCTGGTGGAGACCCAGGTGAAGGCCAGGAGGAAGAGAGGGGCACAGAAGGGCAGTGGATCCCCAACTCACAGCCTGAGCCAGAAGAGCACTCGGCTGTCTGGAGCTGCCCCTGCCCACTCACCCACAGACCCCTGGGAGAAGGAGCATCACTGCATCTCTGCCCGGATGGGCTCATGTGTCCACCCATTACGGCGGTCAAGGCGGGAGGCAGCCTTCCGGAGCCCCTACTCCTCTACAGAGCCCCTCTGCTCTCCCAGGCAAGTAGGACAGTTCCTCACCCTAGGGCTGGTGGCCTTTTAGCCTGGGCACAATACCTGCTCTCTGACCTCCTAGACACTAACTGGGCCCCGAGGCACCCTCAGGGAGTGGAGTCACAGAATGTAATTATTATTCTTATTGTTAAATGAGTGTCCTGCTTTAGCAGAGATCCAGCGCAAGTATTTGTTCTTTAGAAAGTGAGCCACTGGGCACGGTGGCTCACACCTGTCATCCCAGTACTTTGGGAGGCCGAGGCGGGCGGATCACCTGAAGTCAGGAGTTGGAGACCAGCCTGGCCAACATGGTGAAACCCGATCTCTACTAAAAACATAAAATAAGCCAGGCGTAATGGTGCACTCCTGTAATCCCAGCTACTTGGGAGGCTGAGGCAGGTGCATCACTTGAATCTGGGAGGCAGAGGTTGCGGCGAGCTGAGATCACACCATTGCAATCCAGCCTGGGCGACAGAGTGAGACTCCATCTCAAAAAAAAAAAAAAAAAAAAAAAGAGAAAACAAAACAACAACTGGATTCCTAAGGGTTTTATTTCAACTTTCCAGCTGAGCTACAGGGGGAAACGTAGTGTGCTAGCTAAGGCTGTCGAGTAGCTTTGGGCTGTCGGATTTTTCCCACATTTCTTTGAGGGCTAGCATCTTTCTTTAGTCTCATAGGAACCTTGAGCTGTGATTAAGGCAGGCTCTGTTTTTCCCGTTTGACAGGTAAGGAAATGGAGGTCCGGAGGGGTTTAGTAATTAGCATGGGAGACATCTTGTAGGAAGTCAAGGAATAAAGGCTGGGGTCCAGATCGCCTGGATGTTCTGCCCCACCCATCAAGCTGTCCTGCCCTGTAGAATCTTCTAGTTCTCAGGCCCAGAAACTGGCCCAGCGTGGGGTAGAGGGTGAAGCTCATCCCAGTCCGCAGACCCTGGCAGCTAGCTTCCTGTTCATCTCGGGGCTCCCAGGGAAGGCTACCTACCCGCTGCCCCTGCATCGTGGCAGGTGGTCACCAGGATGCGTGTTTAAGTGACCGAGTGGCTTTGCACAGTGCCGGAGCAAACCTGGAGGCTAAAATAAGGCTCGTGAACACTTGAAAAATACTCTCCACATCTGTGTTGTGACCCGGTTCTGTCCCCAGAGCTAGTGAGGGACCTGAGACAATCAATCCTTCAGGACCTTAGTTCCCCTGTCTAAAGGAAGAGCTGAGCTGAGCTCTGACACAATCACACGCACCCAAGCCTCCTGTGAGCCCAAAAGCAAGTTTTGACACTACCTGGAGGGCTGAGGCTGAGTTTCCAAGTGGGGAAACTGCAAAACCCCTTGCCCATGACCTCGGCCTCATGGATCTTGATCTCTCTGTTCTTCGCTCTGAGGTCACTTCCTGGAGTAAAGCCCAGCCCACCAGGGTCATCCAGGCCCACAGACCAGACCCTGGTATAAGCCCTGCCAGGGGCTTCCAACTAGTCACTGGTGTGGGTTTTTCTTTCATTCAGTGAGTCTGACAGTGACCTGGAGCCTGTGGGGGCGGGAATTCAGCACCTTCAGAAGCTGTCCCAAGAGCTAGATGAAGCCATCATGGCAGAGGAGAGGTGAGTTGGCATCCCTTGCTTCAAAGTGAAATGGCCGGAAGGGCCCCTCCAGCTATCTGTGCAGGCAGGTGCCGGTTTTGCTCTGACCTGCTGTGTGACCCTGGCCAGTCTCTGCCCCTCTCTGGGCCTCAGTGTCCCTTATCTCAAACTCAAGAAGAGATAAAAACCTGGACTGGGGTGATGGTAAAGGATGCACCCTGAATGTATGTGGTCTGCTAGGCCTTGGGCCCCCACGTTTGTCCATCACTTGGAACCCCACATGTGGCTGGTTCCTTTCCTGAAAAGCCTACCCTTCCTCCTGAACTCTCCATGGCTCCTCTGTGCCCTCCTTGCCTGTGGAATTGGGAAAAGTAACATGACTGCTATGGAGTTCCTGGTCTGTCCGCTCATGACCCCATCCTCGGGGCAGGGCCTCGGTTCTGGATGTCTCCTAACTTAGGGCTGTTTCCCCATTCCACTTGTATAATGGCCATGATGGGCTCTAAGGCTGGGTCTGATCTTGTCTAGCCTAGACTGGGAGGGCCCTCTCAGAGCCCACCACACCCAGTGGCATCCATCCCTCCCCTTCTCTCTAGTGGTGACATCGTCTCTCTCATTCATGGCTGAGGAAGTGCCTGCAGGTAATGCCCACCTCCCGAGATCTTTCTCAATGTCCTCCTCCACCTTACCCATGAGCAAGTTAAAGAAAAAGCCCACAGACCTAATGGGCACAGCAGTCAGTAGTATCTGCCTGCTACTGGAGGTCAGAGCTAACCTCACTGACCCCCATCACTAACTGAGCATGCTGAGGGCCCCGAGTAGATACAGCCGCCTTCCAGCACCTCCCACCCTGCAGTGAGCAGGGAAAGGCATCCCCACTTCTCCTACCTGGAGCACAGTGAGGGCCACAAAGGCAGCTCTGTCTTGCAGGAAACAAGCCCTGTCTGACCACCAAGGCTTCACACCCAAGGACGTCTGTGCTTCCCCATGCGCTTCCTGGAGGAAGTCCCCAGGAGTTATCAGTACCCCTGAGCCCCTGCTAATGAGGACCTCACTAACAAGGGGCCTGGAGCCCCCCTGCTCTGGCCACATCTGGACCCATCGGTGACTGCCAGCCATAGCCTGAGAGTGTCTTGGGGAGAGTATCTTGCAGAGGTGGGGAGAATTGTACCTTCTGCTTTCCCAGGGGACTCTTGAGCTTAGAAACTCATGATACACCTGACTTTGAGCTTTGTATTTGCCTCATCTGTAACGTGAAGTGCTAGCATCCAATGTTTGAGAGCTCTTAGCCGTGTACCCAGGTGTCTGGTTTTGGGGGAGTCATCCGCAGTCACTCACCATCTGTGTTTCCGGTGCCAAGGCTCTTGAGGGCCCCACTCTCATCCCTGCTTTCCCTACCAGGGACTCAGGAAGGCATAGGAGATATTTCCAGGCTTAAGACCATGGGTTCACAGGTACCTCTTTATATGCTCAAAGCAGAGTACTGTGGNAAAAAAAAAAAAAAAAAAGAATCACATGAAATTTAATTAAAAAAAAATTAGAACTGTAACTACCTTTAGACACCATCTAGGCCCAACCTGCATTTTACAGATAATGAAATTACAACCCAACCAGCATGGTGGTACACACCTGTAGTCCCAGCTACTCAAGAGGCTGAGATGGGAGAATTGCTAAGCCCAGGAATTTGAGGCTATAGTGAGCTATAATTGTGGCACTGCATGCCAGCCTGGGCAACAGAGTGAGACTCATTTGAAAAGAAAAGAAAGAAAAAGAAAAGAAAGAAGAAAAAAAGAAACTGAGGCCCAGAGAGGTATCAAAGGCTCAAGGACGTGAAAGTGGCTGAGCAGGTCTAGAGCACAGACTTGGCACTTTTCTCTGTATACTTTATTGCCTCACATTATATGGAAAGCGCTTGAAAAATATATAGCATCTTGGCTGGGTGCGGTGGCTCATGCCTGTAATCCCAGCACTTTGAGAGGCTGAGGCAGGTGGATCACTTGAGGTCAGGAGTTTGAGACCAGCCTGGCCAACATGATGAAACTCCATCTCTACTAAAAATACAAAAATTAGCCATAGTGGTGGGCACCTTTAATCTCAACTACTTGGGAGGCTGAGGCAGGAGAATCACTTGAGCCCAGGAGGCAGAGGTTGCAGTGAGCCGAGATTGTGCTACTGTACTCCAGCCTGGGTGACAGAGCAAGACTCTCTCAAAAAAAAAGAAAAGAAAAAAATGTATATATTCTTAATGCAGGTCTTTCTTTCTTTCTTTCCTCCCCTCCTTCCCTCCTTCCTTCCTACCTTCCTTCTTTTTTCTCTCTCTCTCTTTCTTTATTTGAGACAGGATCTCACTCCATTGCCCAAGCTGGAGTGCACTGCTGTGACTGTAGCTCACTACCACCTCCATCTGCTGGGCTCTGATCGATTCTCCCACCTCAATCTCCTCAGTAGATGGGACTACAGGTGCATACCACCAAGCCTGTCTAGTTTTTAATTTTTTTGTAGAGTCAAGGTCTCACCTGTTGTCCAGGCTGGGCTCAAGCAATCCACCTGTCTCGGCCTCCCAAAGTGCTGGGATTGCAGACATTGGCCACAGTGCCCAGCTAGCTTTTTTTACTGTAAGCAGGAGAGACATTCCTAGGAGGCAATTTATTATAAAGATACAGGGATAGGAAGTAATCAGGCCTCTGGAGGAACCAGAACCAGGAACTAGAAAGGTATCAAGAATCATGACAGCCACTTAGTCCGTGCCGTCTCCATCTCTCTCTGGAACCATGTGGTTTCTCATTTGTTCACTTTCCTTCTATTTCTGTAGCTTTCTCTGCCTCTCTGTGCTCTTAATGATAAAAGGCCACAGATATATTTTAAGTTTCATGACATTTTGGTTCAAGCACCTAATAGAAACATACTAGATCTTAGTCCAAATGTCCAGAAGAAAGCAGCTTATTGGTTCGTCTTGAGTCAAGTGTTCACCCACATCCAGTCCAGTTAGCCACAGCCAAGGCAGATAGTTCACATAGTATAAACTTGACTACAGGGCTGCACTCAGGGTTAGCCAAACTGTGAGGCTGGAGGAACAGTTCTCACAAGACTACCCCTACTTCTGAAACCAAATACAAGTTTGAGGGTTTCCTCAAACCATCCCAGGTTTGATAATTCTCTAGAAAAACTCACAGAAGTCACTGAAAACTGTTATACTCACAGTTACCGTTTATTATAGACAAAGGATGGAAATTAAAATCAGCCAAAGGAAGAAACACAGAGTCCAGGAGAGGTTCAAGTGTAGTACTTGGATATCTTCTGCCTGTGGAGTCACGGACAATGTTATCTCCTCCTGGTCACGATGTGTGACAATACACACATTATTACCAACTGGAGCCTGAACCTGAAGTCTGCAAAGTTTCTGCTGGGGCTCGATCACACACTGCTGTTATGGCTGATTTTGAGTATCCTCTTCTCCCAGAGGTCATGCTAGTACCTCTAGCCTCCAGGTCCTCCAGAGGTCAGAACTGAAACAGCATGGCCTGGGGCCTGACTCACATTGTTAGACTGCCCAGTGGCCAGAACGCCAAGCAAACAGACACTCCTATCAGGCAGGACATTTCTGGGGCCTGGAGGTCACCTCCGCTCTAGCTGACGGCAAAGGCCAGGCCTTTATTTATTTATTTATTTTTTGAGAAAGAGTCTTCTTCTGTCGCCCAGGCTGGAGTGCAGTGACTGCATCTCAGCTCACTCCAACCTCCGTCTCCCGGGTTCAGGCAGTTCTCTGCCTCAGCCTCCCGAGTAGCTGGGAGTACAGACGTCCGCCGCCAAGCCTGGCTCATGTTTTTGTATTTTTAGTAGAGACGGGGTTTCACCATGTTGGTCAGGCTGGTCTCAAACTCATGACCTCATGATCCACTTGCCTCAGCTTCCCAAAGTGCTAGGATTACAGGCGTGAGTCATCGCACCTGGCCGGCCAGCCAGGCCTTTCTTTTGGTTAATATTTTTGTGCCAGAGTCTTGCTTTGTCACCCAGGCTGGAGTGCAGTGGTGTGATCTTGGCTCACTGAAACCTCTGCCTCCTGGGTTCAAATGATTCTCCTGCCTCAGCCTCCCAAGTAGCTGGGAGGCAATGTGCCACCACGCCCAGCGAATTTTTTTTTTTTTGGTATTTTTAGTAGAGACAGGTTTCTCCATGTTTGTCAAGCTGATCTCGAACTCCTGACCTCAAGTGAGCTGCCTGCCTCCCAAAGTGCTGGGATTACAGGCATGAGCCATATCACCTGGCCAGGGTTAAGTTAGTTCTTCATTATACAGACACACTTCCATTTTTGCAGAAGGGGAAATGTTCTCAAGAAGTAGGACATTTCAGGGAAATATAAGTCTATTCCATTGTATGTTAGATAAGTAAATAATTCCAGCTTCTGTAATAAATAAACCCTGAGATTCCACTAGTTTAACACAATAAAAGTTTATTTCTCTTGTTCACAGTCCAATGTGGGTTGCTAGAAGGGTAGGGGGAGATGAAGGAAGAGAGAGGGAAAGAAGTGAGAAGGGAGAGAGGATGGTGGGAGAAGGAGGCAGCATCAGGGAAGGGGTCTTGCTCCATATGATCACTCAAGGACAAAGGCCTTTTCCATCTTGTGGTTCCACCCTTTTCTTTGTCCCTTTCTTTGTCCTCTCCATTCAGCAAGAGAAGGGATGGCCAAAGAGTGAGGATTGTGCTTGAGAGGTTTTTATGGACCCAGAAGTAGTGCCCACCACTCCTGCTCACATTCCACGGGCCAGAACAGTCACATGGTCACACCTAACTGCACTGGAGGCTGGAAGAGGGACTCTGGCTGTAGGCCAGAAAGAAGAAAAGAACACAATCACTGGTGAGCACCGACAGTCTTCACCACATATAAACTGATCGTGTGACACCAACATTACCTACGTCAGAATTTATTTTTCTTTCTTTGGAATCCCTTCAGCAATGACACACCCCCTATATCATAATTTTATCACATTAAATTGTCTATTGCCTTAGAATTATGTCTTCTGCCTCCATTTTTACATCATAAGCAGGGATCATTCTTCAGCTGCTTTGGTTTTTACCATGATGCAGGCTGTAAGGTAGGCACTATAGGTAAATTTAAAAATCATGCTGAATTATTTCAGTAAAGACCAGGAAGATGGAAGTTGCAAATAATTACAGTCTGGAAACAAGCTTGGTTTAGTTGCTATGGCACAAATTGATGATTTAAATATAAACAAGGATGTTTATAATCACACACACAAAAAAACAATAGAAAGCAAGTTAAATATCCATCAAATATTTATAGTGGGCGGTTTAGTTGCTATGGTACCAATTAATGATTTAAATATACACAAGGATGTTTATAATCACACACAAAAAAACAGTAGAAAGCAAATTTAAATGTCCATTAAATGCATATAGTGGGTGGTGGGCGAGGAGCAGCTGTGCTCGGGGTATGATCGGTGTTGGCAGTGTAGGGGTCTAGTGGGCAGAGAAGACTCTTGGCCAGGCAGACAACTTCTCAGTGGCACAGCATGGGGACCTCCGTGCACTGGAGATCTCTGCAGCACTAGGAACAGCTGGAGGACACCAGGGAGCTGCAGACTGTGGCCATTAGGAGGCCTTCGCAGGAGTCCTGGGGTCCCTGTGCAGACAGTTCCAAAGAAGGCTGCCCCTGAGAGCCGTCAACCTCAACCTCCGCGCAGGCCCCTCCTGGAAACACCTGGAAACCCCAGAGCCAGGGCTGCAGGGCCTCCAGGCTGCAGCTCACTCAGCTAAGAGTGCTTGGGCGCCAAGTCCCAGAGAATCCAGGAGTCCTGCGAAAGTGGTACCAAGTGGCTGGTGGAGACCCAGGTGAAGGCTAGGAGGAGGAGGAGAGGGGCACAGAAGGGCAGTGAATCCGCAAGTCACAGTCTGAGCCAGAAGATCACCCAGCTGTCTGGAGCTGCTCCTGCCCACTCAGCCGCAGATACCTGGGAGAAGCATCACCACCTCTCTGCCCGGATAGGTTCACGTGCCCACCCATTACGGCGGTCTAGGCGGGAGGCTGCCTTCTGGAGCCCCTACTTCTCAACAGAGCCCCTCTGCTCTCCCAGAGAGTCTGACAGTGACCTAGAGCCTGTGGGGGCGGGAATTCAGCATCTCCAGAAGCTGTTCCAAGAACTAGATTAAGCCATTATAGCAGGAGAGTGGTGACATCATCTCTCTCATTCATGACTGAGGAAGTGCCCTGCAGGAAACAAGCCCTGTCTGACGCCAAGCCTTCATACCCAAGGATGTCTGTGCTTCCCCATGCACTTCCTGGAGGAAGCCCCCAGGAGTCGTCAGTACCCCGTGCCACTGCTAACAGGGACCTGACTAACAAGGGGCCAGAGAACCCCTGCTATGGCCACATGTGGAGCAGAGGTGGGGAGAATTGTTTCTTCTTCTTTCACAGGGAATCTTGAGCTTAGAAACTCACCATACACTTGACCTTGAGCCTTGTATTTGCCTCATCTGTAACGTGACGTGCTAGCATCAGATGTTAGAGAGCTCTTAGCTTTTACTCAGGTGCCTGGTTTTTGGGGGAGTCATCCGCAGTCACTCGCCCACTGTGTTTCCAGTGCCAAGGCTCTTGAGGACCCCATTCTCACCCCTGCTTTCCCTACCAGGGACTCGGAGGAAGGCACAGGAGATATTTCCAGGCTGAAGACCCTGGGCTCACAGGTACCTATTTATATGCTCGATGCAGAGTGCTGTGGGTATGCCGGGAGGGGTAGCCTGTTCAAGAGCAATTTCTGCCCTTTGTAAATTATTTAAGAAATCTGCTTTGTCATTTTATTAGAAAGAAACCAGCGTGTGACTTTCCTAGATAACACTGCTTTCTCATAATAAAGACTGTTTGCCTTTGACATCTGTTCCCTTTCACTGCCAACCTCCAATGTCCCCCGCCCTCCCACACCACTCTGTGCTATAGATTTGTGGTTTGGGGTCTGGCCCTCATCTACCTCTGCTTCCAGCCAGCCTGCCCCCAAGTCCCACCCCAGGGAGAACATGTATAAGGGGAAAGGTTTCTCAACTTCATTCAGAGCAAAACACATCGTAAAGGCAAATAAGGTTTTTATTTAAGTGACAACGTTTGAGAGCTAAAAACCAGCTCACATCAAAATCAAGACCAGTTGTAAAAATCTTTTAACTCCATAATGCTGTTTTTGTTTTGTTAGAAATCTGGTATCTTACATTAGCATTTCTAACGGATTTTGTACAAGGCAGCCATAAAGAATATAATAAACCTTTTTCACCATGGAACCATCTGTCACAGATAATACTGAAAGTTACACACTTAGGAACAGTCAGACCACAGACAAGGTCAGGCTGGCTGCCACCACCAAGTAAACAAAGAAAAGGACAGAGGGGTCCTAGGGTGGGGGGTCCCTGTGCACAAGTCGCCCTCTTCTGGCCTGCCCCTCCTTGGTGTCACCTGCTTCTCCTATGCCCCAAAGAGGGTGGAGTCAAATTCAAATTTTCCTCCCAAGTGCCTGTTAGTTTCTCAACAAGGAGAGCGGGACCCAGGTCAGGCGTTGGGGCTTGGACTTAACCCTAACTGTGGTTTTTAAGAAAGTTCCCCTAAGCCGCAGGAAAGGAAGGAGGGGATGTTTCTTTTGGCTGAGCCAAAAGACAATAGGTTTTCAGGGCACTTCGCACCCAAACCCCCCCAGATGGGATTCAGTGGGAAAGTTGGTTGTTTAAGGCGGGGTCAGGGCCCCCCTCCCGGGGCTGCACCTGGGCTCGGTGGGAGAGTGAGGATGCAGAGGACTCTCATGCCTCATGAACGACTCCAGGGCAAGCTATGGGTCCCAAAGGGGTAAAAATACAGTTTAAAAACCGTGAGATCCAGCCTCGCCTCTTCCAGAGCACCCACCACCACGAATCTCTGGAATACTAGAATTCAAACACATTCATTTGCTGTAGCCCAGCACCCAGACAAGAGGGCCATTCATCCCAATGTGTGAAAGGAGTCTGCTTTTTTAAAAAATGTTTTACAGAGCCCACGGGAGCCGTTGAGATCTTTAGGAAAAAAACCCATGATGCTGGAAGAGCAGGTCCTGGGCTAAGGATGCACCCTGAACCCTAACAGGGCAAATGGTAAAGGAAGGTGGCAGGCAGGCCCTCAGCCACGACAGCCGCCAGATCAGGAAGAACAAACATGCCACACAAGAAACAAGGAGCTTTGGTAAGGCGGGAAGATCTGGTCCAGCTGCCGGAAAGCAGGCATACCAGAGGCTAGAAAGATTCTCTAGAAAACAGCTGGATTGGGGGTCACAGAACTACTCAAGGAGAGGCAGCGGCACCCCCTCCAGAGGACAACACAACTTGGTTCTTTTTTTCTCCAACTTCACTAGACGGACAAAACCGAACAAACCGGTAGGATAGAAAGTGCATATATGCGTGACACAGTTGCTGTGAAAGCCGTACTGAAACATACGCTGTCTCAACATGACACAGAACCGCATGTACACACATTCACACACACCAACTACAGCTCCAACTGTGTTCACAATATCTCACTGTACACCATCAGCATCTCATGTGTGCATTGTCGGTCAAAGCCACAATCCTCCTACCTGCTTGGAGCCAGAGCTGCTTCCAAAAGGGGTGGTGGCCCTTCTGCTGGGTCCTTGTCCCAGTTCTGACCCCCAGAGCCATAGAACCTGGGTCACACTAACTTCAAATTCCCCAGGGATCCTGGCCCATGTGTGCTCACTCTCTCTTTCTGTCTTCCTTTCTCTCTCTCTCTCTCTCTCTCTCTCTGCCCCCCCCCCAACCTCTCACCTAGCCTGGGGTTCTCAGGGAAGAGGGAATCTAACTGGGAGCAAAGTAGCTCATACTAAGTATTTATCATTTTAGAGTAATCAGTGGCTTCTGCAAAAAGGAAATGGTAAGAGTTTTCAAGAATCAGACTAAGTCTGCCCAAGTTTAAATCAGAATATTTTTGGGAAGGATTAGGGTTGGGGTAGCTATGCCATATGAGCTGATGCCTTTGGAAAACCAAGAACTGTGAAATGTTAAAGGGGGGATGGGCACCTATGAACAGCCTGGAGGCAGGACCATACAGGAGGCTGAGGCTGAGGCTGAGGCTGATCGGCACTCCTCCCCACAGACTCACCAACAGCCCTGGGCTAGAGTGAAGGAGGCGGCGCCAGAAGTGGAGCAGAAGAGCTGGCAGACTGAAGACACATTTCTAGTGGAGAGAGCAGGGTTGGGGGCTGGGAGCCCAGACCCCTCCAGCCCCAGGAGGGCACCCAGTTTGCCAGCCAGTTCACAACGGTGGTGCCAGCTGCCCCCAATAGCAGCGTCATTGGCTGCATGGGAGCCAAGAGAGGTAGACACTGAGCAGAAGCGACACTGAGCTGACACAGATGCCTGCTGTGGATACAGACGTCTGAAATTGCTGGGACCGGCCTCAGAGGTGGCCCATGGGGGCTCAGAGGCCACCTGGGCAGCCCCACACAGCTGGTGTGGGCCTGGGCCAGGGAATCAGGGGGCCAGGGGATGCAGGAAACCAATGCCCAGGCCAAGGCTCAGCAGCAGGAGGGCCTGGGCTGGCTTTAGGGGCCCCAGAAGGGCCAAGACCTGCCGACCTCAGGGGACTACCCAGGAGGAGAGTACCGGCACACACTGAGCGGCAGGGGAAAGGGAAGAGAATGCAACAGTTGGAACCAAACTTCCAGGAACCCCCTAGAACCTCGGAATCTCTGCTCTATGCCCCCAGGAGCCAAAAAGGATAAATGGGTCCTGGCAGAGCTGGGGGTAGGGGGAGCCAGGTCATTTGGTCGGAGATGGAGGTGGGTTGTCCCTGGGACACCCAGTTTGGGCATCAGTGCAAGGCAAACCAACTGTGCCTCTCCGTGGAGTAGGGATCCCTTCCCAGCCGGCCCAGAGCAGCTCTTTTAAGAGCCCCTCCTTCTCCTTCCCAACCCACCCAGACTCTGTCTCCCAGGCTCTGTGAAAGGCATGGGTCACAGGACACTCTGAGGGGCCCTTAGACCTGAAAAGCCTCAAGGGGCCAAACTCCAGGACACGCTGGAGTCAAAGACTCACACCAATCTCAGCTAGGGGATCCCTCCAATAACAGAAGGGGCCCAGAGAGGGCAAGCAACCAGCTCAGGGGCTCACAGCCAGCCCAGCTGAGCCAGAGCCCAAGGCTGCAGCCTCCTGAGGGAGGGCATGAGGCAGGGCTCCAGGAAGAGGAACCCCTGGCCCCCAGGGCCACAGAGAAATGGTGAGGACACTTAGGACAAGTGGGGGCGGGTGTTTGGGGACAATGGACAGCCACAGGACAGACCGTCAGCACCAGACTCCACCTCCCCAGGACTGTGGACAGAGACGGCATTAAGATGAGCCAGGGGATGCGCTCTCACTCCCAGAAAGTGGCCATCTTGCCATAAGAGCGCCAACCCAAACAAGACCAAGGGCCACAGGGAGGGCGGGCACACATGCCACTCACGCCTCCACAAACCAGCCGAGAAGCTGTGCTTGCCAGCGGCGCTGGGTCCCGGGGCTGGGGCTGCCCCTTGAGGGCCAGCCCAGCTCACTGTGAAGCCTGGGGACTCAGGATGGTCGACTTTGCCCAAACGCACCAGCCCAGGGCAAGCCTGCCCCCAGGATGACACAAACAAGAACCCTACTCGGGCGTGCGGTCACAGGCACATGGGAGGCAGCAGTGGCTGCATCGAGACCCCTGGATCTCACCCCGTCGCAGCCCAGGGAGCCCCCGAGGCCGGGCAGGGTCCCTCCCCGCTCTGCTCGGACACTGCTGGACAGACACGGGAGGGAAAAAGCAGGAAAACGCCTGTGTCGGAGAGAGGGCCGCCCCTCCAGTCCCCGCAGGCAGCCTGGTTGGGCGCCCCCTCCCTGCTCGGAGCACGACCCGCCCCTCAGGGCACCGACTCGAACTTTGGGGGCCCACGCGCCCAGCTGAGCGCGGGCAGCGGCCGCTCGTGGTCCTTGTCGGACTCGGGCTGGCTCTGCGCCCGCTCCGGCTTGGGGTTGGCGGCGGGCGGGTCGGGCTGCTGCACCGACATGGTTCTGCGCAGGTGGTTGCGCTTCCGCAGGAACTCCGGCTGCGCGTGGAGCCCGAAACTGCCCTTGCGCAGGATCATGCGTGAGTTGTTCTTCTTGGGGCGCGAGCGGTGGCTGCTCTCCAGCGCGGCCAGGTGTGCTGCGTAGCCCTCGCTCAGGAACTGCAAACGGTGGGGTGCGGAGGGGCAGGGTGGGGAGGAGCCGGGGAGGGAAGAA